CTTGGCCGCTCTGGCTCTGGGCTGGCAGGCTTGGAGCTGGCACAGGCACTGTGGCCAGGGTCTACCCCTTTAATGGCTCCGGGGCTGGAGGAGAGTAAGTTTTCCTGGTTGTGCCCAGAGTGCCACTAGGGCTCTCTGGGAAGGGCTGGAGATCCCCTATTTTGAAATAAGTGTCTACACAGCACGTAATTCGAAATAGCTATTTTGAATTTGGCATTACTGCTCGTAGAATGAGGTTTACTAAATTCAAATTAAGCAGTCTATTTCGAATTAATTTCGAAATAGCGGTTTGCCTGTATAGATGCTATTAAAGTTAATTAGAAATGACAGCTGTTATTTTGAATTAACTTTGCAGTGTAGACATACCCAAAGTGGTTGAAGATGTCCAAGTGCCACTGCTTACATAAATGTTAATTCTACGAGTCCATCAGATCAATGACTGTGGCCCGGTGTCTGAGTAATAACCTTCCTAGAATATTCCATAGCCTCACTGGTCCTGTATTTTCATGGGCAGATCCTTTCTTAAGGGCACTTCACAAAAGACAGAATTTAAATTACATAGAATTTTTTAAGCACAACTGAGTATATTAGGAAAAACTAGCTAAAACCTAAAATTTTGTACTTTTGTTCAAATGAAACAGCTTTGGAAAAGACCTTTATTGTTTAATCATAAGCCTTGAATTATGCTACTCAGTTTCTCAAAATAGATATCTGCAGTGGTATATTATTTCACTATAGCTATGCTGGTATAGCTCCTCCACGTGGATACTATTTCAGAATAAAAATGACCTTATTCCAAAATAGTGTCCACTTGGGGCAGAGGGACTAATTTTTCTACTACAGTCATGCCTATCAATTTCCTCATGTGGACAAATCCTAAACCAAACCTTATCTATGGAGCTACTAATGCACTTCATCAATGTTCTTGAACTCTTTGGTTTTGCTCATACAGAGATTCCAAGACTGGGCTAGCTGGTTACATGGTATTCGTTCCAGTTATTTCCACATCTTCCACATAAATTGCCTTGAAATATTATATTGCATGATTTTTATTTATCTGAATATTACTGTAGGCAATTGATGTACTTGCCCCAGAAATTTCATGTCATAAGTGTGATACACAAAAGTAGGAAAAGAAATGGGTGCACATGATCATAAACAGAAAGGGATGTAAGACAGATAGTATTTTTAATAAGATATGGTCTATCTAGATGGAAAACATTTGAAAATCCCTGCATAAGCACTTTGCATTTTCTTAAATACAACAATTCAGCAAGCCATTTTTGTGTTTAATTTTTATGCCTAGCTGTATAGTGGCAAGACAAAACAAACAAGTTGCGCAATAAGTGTTACATTTTCATTATTTTCTTGCCATGTGCCATCCCAATATTAACTTCTAACTTCTCTTCCCAAATCTTCCTACTGCTATGAGTGATTGCTATCTGATAAGCCTAAAACTTGAACAAAATTTCCTTTTAAGAAAATGTAGTTTATGAACTGTTAGAGCAAACCAGTGAAAGACCCTGCATGGTTTCTAATGCAAATTTTACATTTATAAGATCAGTTGCAATGTGAAACCGCAGACCCTTTTGCTTCTTAGGGGCAGGTAACTTGCTTAGTTGGATCATCCATATAGATTGTTTGACTGAACTAGATTTTGGAGATCTTTGGAATGCTAAGACCCCAAATAGGGACTTTAATGATGCTTAGAGTTTGGTCAGATGCTCTGTAGAAAGGTGAATGAATTCCACTTTTAAGAAGGAATTCTGTTATTTCCTCCTAATGGGTATTTTTGATAATAAAAGTTAAATACATCTGGCTTTTACATTCTGGCTATCCTACAACCCTGCACTCACTTTCAGGATATTTAAAGGAGCCTGAATACCTTATGATCTTTTCAGTTTTCACTGGGAAATTGTTTTAGAATGTTGTAATTCTAGGCAACACCTTTATAATGGACTGAATCAAAACAACAATCTTAAAACCAAACCCAATATTAGGATTTGAATTGAGCTCTAACTTTTTAAGAATCTTAAGTGCTCACGTTATTTTCTCATGTAGTCTCATTGAGATGGATGAAAGGACTATTTGTGCAAATGAGGAAGAAAATTTGAGCTGTAGAGAAGATTGGTAAAAACAAGAGTTCATTGATTTCCTTCTTAAAAATGTTAAAATTATGTCCTCTGGATCTATACTAATTGCTTTTTCATTGAACAATTATTATTCAGATTGCACCTATCTTAAAGCAAACCTGCAAGCATTTGAGAAAATGGCTACTTGGCTAGTTATAAAAATTTAAGAGGAAATCCTGATAGTTTTGAGATCAAAGATAAAACTCCCATTGACTTCAATGGGTCAAGAATGTCACCCTTTTGTCTTTTTGCTACTTCTGTAAGCAGCTCTGTGAAAATGCTTCATGTGCTATTTTGTAACTTAAATGCAGTATACTTCAGTGAAATACAACACATACCACAAAGTCCCTCTACTGTGCCACTGCAGTAGAAAAATATCACAATGCTTTCTACTGCAGTGGCACAGTAGAGGGACTATTTCTCTGTAGTGTAGTGGAAGCACACTACCATTTAAAAAAAACAACGAACTGACCCTTTTCTACAATGTAACTAATTGGTCCCACTTATGGATGTAAGCAACCATCTAAAAAGCATTAATTTGTATGCATAAACCCTGGTACTACCAACAAAAGATACCAAGTTTACCTGTTTATTCACTTATTAAAAAAACTGGCAGAGTTGTCCTTATTTTATGGGACATTTCAATTTTTAAAAAGCAATTTAAAGTTATCATGAGAAATGTTATGCATAAATAAAACAGACAATCTTGAAAATTTAGTCTTTTGGAGACAGGTGTTTTGTTTTTAAGAGTCTGTCTCCGTTTTGGCATGAAGGAGCTTCTATATATTTATTTCAGGGAGAAACTCAAATGCCTTCTGATATTCTTATACTCTATTTTATTCATTCCACTTTCATCTTTCACGGCCAGAAGACTCACCACTCTCTTGACTAAATGACTTACTCGTGCAAGAGGTGAACATATTTAACTTTTCCAAGCTATTCACTAAAATTTTTAATTTGTCAGGACAGTTTCAGATTTGCTAGGAAGGTTCTCCCATTGGGTTAAATTCAATGTAGTTTTTATAATTTCTTGTTCTAGAAGTTAAGGATTTTTCTGTGAGTTTAAAAGACAGGCAAATTGTCATTATGTTTATGTCTTTTATTCAAGTAGCCATAAGTTGGCAGACTTGCACTTGGTACAGAAAGGGGCTACCCCTTCAGAAGCCTGTAACAAGCACAACTCTATTACTTTCAACCTGCACCTGGTCTTCTGTGCCTGCAAACTCAAACTTCTACAATCTATGGTTGCAAAACGAACAAACAAAAAACCCAACACTCTCCCTCTCCTTCCCCGCCCAGCAACACACGCTTGCCAACAGCCAGTTCGTTAGGTGTTGCTTTAAATGGACAAGATTCGCGCAGGAGACTTTTCCAAGAAGAAAGTTTCTCACCCTCTCTGATTTCTCTCAGGCCTCCAACTTCACCTTCCTTTGCAGCTATGCAGCCACCCCTGTAGTTCCCCTTAGCCAGGCTGCCCGTAAAGCAGACATGGGCTGTACCATCCTCCAAACTACAGATCCCAGGATCCCTCTCCGAAGCCCCCTCCCTGTCCTTGTTGGAAAAACCTCTGGCTGAGTTTCAGAGAAAGTCTCAGCTCCTCCACTGTGGACGGGGAGGGCGAGGCGGCCCACAGAGGCCACCGGTGGGGAGGAAGGGTAAGGGGTGGGGAAACTGTGCTCAACTGACAGCAGCAAAGGCCGATGGTGATGGTAGCAGAGGGGGTGGGGGAGGCAGGACACTTGAATACCAGGGCAGATCCCTCCCTCCCGGGCCAAGAGGGAGGGCCCCCTCCTCCCATCCGTGCCTAGTAGTCTATGGGGCCGGGGTTCCCCCTCCCCTTCAAGTCTCTGCGTTCGCTCAGCCGAACTCTCCCGGGAGCAAGATTCCAACCCTCCGAACCGCAGCGCTGCCGGGGTGGAACTTTGCCGGGCTCCAGGTTCCAGCCCCGGCGGGAGGGGGGGAGCCAGGGACACGAGCGCTGCCCGGCCCATTGCGCCCTCTCAGCGCGGC